GGAGGAGCGCCCGCTGCTGACCGACAGGCGCGGGATGAGCTCCGGGGGCAGCCGCCACGTGACGCGCCGCAGGTCCTGCTCCGCCCCCAGCCGGGGCTCCGACTTCCAGCCGCCGCCTTGGGAACAACGAAGGGCCCCGTTGGCACCGCCGGCGGCGCGCCCGCGCGAGCGCGCGCTTGGCTCGCTGGGATCCAGATGTGGGGTGTCGACGAGCTCTGGGCCCCGACGAGGCGGCCTGGGCAGTCGCATCCCTGCGAGGGCCTCTGGACAGCCTGGAGACGGGAGCCCTGGCCCGGTGCCTCCCGCGGCCTGTGCCACCGAGAGCCGCCCGCAGGGGCCGTTCAGACGCCCGAGGGCGTCACACGCTGGCCCCATCCAGTCCACTGCTTGTACCCCAACCCTCCTGGCCCTTGGGTCGAGGTCCCCAAGGCCCAGGTCCAGGCCCTGGCGGGCAGCTGCGTCCTTCCTCTGGCACTGTCCCACTGGCAGCTCATTTTAAAGATCCACAAACGCGCAGAGAGGGGGCGGGGACGGGTCCTCGGAGCTGGGTCCCTGCTGCATTGGGCAGTCAAGGAGGGGACGGCTGGCCAGCCCCGCGCGGTGGCCGTCCTGGGGCTCCTGTGCCCAGCCGGCTCCCACGGGCCCCGCCCCGCGCCTGCAAGGCAGTTTGTCCCTCGTGCCCGGGCTGTGCAGCTTCCCGTCTGCACACGATGGCCCGTGACCACGTGACCACGCGCTCTCCTCCGTGTCGGTGCCAGCCCGGCCTCTCGCCAAACTGTGGACCCCGCTGCCCTTTGTCTGGGGCCGGCAGGGACCTGCAGCCTGGCCCTCCACAGCCCGCAGCCACGGGCCCCTCTGCTCTCCCGGCACCGGCGACGGCCCGCGTCCACTCAGGCGCCCCGGACTGCTCCCGCGGCCCCCAGGCCCGCTCACCGGTGTCGTCCGAGACGCTGGGCCTCTGGCTGCCGGCCGGGGAGCGCAGCACGTCGTCGCTGTACATGAGTAGGTGCTCATAGTCCTCCCCACACTGGGCGTCCACGATCGGGATGTCCGGGATGATGGGGACTGCGGGGAGCGGGGCGGTGGGCGGGGGGCGGTGAGCCCGGCCCCGGCCTTGGCCGCCCCCAGCCCCTGTGCCTCCCGGCCGGCCACTCACTGGACATGGGCCGCTTGGGCTGGGTGGCCAGGTTGATGATGGCCTCGCGCTCAGGCCCCCAGCCCGCCCCGTTGCGGGCCTTCACCGTGTAGCGGTACGGCTGGGACTCGCGCAAGTTCTCGATGAGCAGCGTCCGCTTCTTGGGGCTGTCCACCAGCACCTTCTTCATGGGCCCGATGGGACCTGGGGTGTGTCACAGGGGTCGTCCGGGGTCCAGCCTGGTGCTGGCTCACCTCTGAGGTGGCCGGACCCCTCCCTTCCCGCCCAGCCCCCGAACTGCGCCCGGGGGGCGGGTGGGGTCCGGCAGGGAGCAAGGAGCTGGGGACCCCCTGCATGTGCCGAGCCTAGCATCGGGGTGGCTGGCTTAGAGAAGGGGGGCCTGCTTGCCAAGGGGTTCATGGTTCCAGTCAGTGGCGGCGCCAGACTGCTGGCCACGGGCCCTGGGCCCCTGGGCAGCTGGTCCTACATCTCAGGTGCCTCCCCGCGAGGCCGCCTGCTTCACAGGTGAGGTGCGCTCACGGCCCAGCACCGAGCCCCAGGTGCTCGGCGGCACAGGAGCTGGGCGAGGATGGGGGGGGGCAGGGCTGCTGCGCAGGGCATGGGCGCACTGACCTGGGCACACCTCGGGGGGGGCAGGGCTGCTGCGCAGGGCAGGCTGGGCCTGGGGGGGCTGAGGGCAGGGTGCTGGGCCTGCGTGCACGCAGCCCTGGGAGAAGGGGTCCCCTCTGCTCCGAGTGACCAGGGCTCCGCAAGAGGGGAGCCAGTGCTCCCCCCTGGAAGACTTTGGGGAAGTGAGGGAAGGCCAGAAAATGCCCCCGTTCCCAGAGGGGATTCTGGAAGATGCCACCTGAGAGCCTCGGTGCCAATCCCAGCACACACCTGTGCTCGGGAGACTGATGGAGGCTGCCAGCCTGGGCAGAGGCGGGCGGGCGCTGGCTGCCCCGCTGGTGCTCCTTGGCCCACCCCCTCGCATCTGTCAGCCAGTGGGGAACGGGAGGCGGGCGGGCACCCCACAGACGTCCCGGACTGGGAGGGCTACCCGGAATATTCCGTGCCTTAGGGGGGCCTCTCGGCAACCTCAGGCCACAGCTGACACCCTCAGGGGTGAGGACAGAGACCCCCGCGTGGGCTGTGGGCCCACAGCTGTGAGCCCAGACAGGCTGAGGGCGCAGAGCACCCCGAGACGCTGTGCTTGGTTGTGGGGAGCTGCACCAGTGTGACCTGGCCCCTGCCCCGCAGGGCCCCGAGTGCTGAGCTGGCCTGCACGAGGTCCACAGGTCATATGGGGTGCTGAGCTCCCCATTACTGGGGCGGACCAAGCAGTCGTGGGGTGTGGGGCCCGGGCCCCACTGCACGTACCGGGCGCTGACCTTCCACCCCAGCCCCCACGCAGAATGCACCGCCCAGCCCTTGCCACAACCCCTGGGGCGATGGGGCTTCCCGCGGCCCGGGCATGGGGGGCCGGGGCTTACGGTTGTCCTCGTTGACCAGGCCGTAGCAGACCTCGTAGGCTGTGATCTCGCCGTTGGTCTCGGCCGGCTCAGCCCAGCTCAGCTGGGTCACCGTGGCGGAGACGACGTTGAAGGCCAGTCGCCCCGGCTCGCTGGGCACTGGTGGGGTGGGGGGAGAGCCGTGAGCGGCAGGGCCAGGCCTGCTGGCGGCCAGCAGCGGGCTGCGGACAGGTGGACGATGCGGCGGGCCTCACCTTCCTGGTGGGTGCGGCAGGACACCAGGGAGCTGTAGGGCCCCTCGCCCTGCTCCCCGTAGGCGCACACCTTCATCTCGTAGTCGCAGAACGGGTACAGGTTGGTGAGCTCCACGGAGGGCACCTTGCTGTCCAGCAGGTGCGCTTCGGACTCAGAGTCGCCCTGGATCCAGTACTTCACCTGCCCCCAGGGAGGGCGGGCAGCGGTCAGCAGCGCTGCTCATCCTGCCACTGGCCGCCCTTTACTGTGCCCGTGAGCAGGTGGGACAGGAGGGCCGAGGGGCGGGGTCACAGGCAGGGGGGGCAGGGCGCGGTGTCCCGGAGGCACGTGCCAGACGGACACAGGGGTCTCCCCGCCCCCTCCTCGGGGCCCTGGGCCCCCAGCACCCCGCGTCCATCCTCCACCCCCAGGCCCCATCTTACTCTGTACCCTCTGGGCTTGCCAGGAGGGGGGAGCCAGTTGAAGTGGATCTTCCGGGATCCAGCTGCCTTGGCATTGGGGTTCTGTGGGGTGCCCAGTTCACACCGGGTGGGTGCGGATGATAACAGTGACTGGTTCATAATTTCATCAACTTCATCTGTAACAGGTCAAGTCAGGGGACAGCCAGTTTGACACCCCCTCTTGGAGGGAAGCAGGAACCCACCCTCACTGCTTGGGGGCTCCGGAGACCCAGTTAAGCCCCCAAGGCTCCTTCCCCACAGGCCTCGATTGAGAGCTCCTCCCCACCCCTGGGGGGGCGTCAGAGGGCCCCGCCAAGTGCGCTGGAGGCCCAGGAGGACAGTGCTCGGCAGCCCGGCGTTCTCCCCCAACCCCCGTCACGCCCCACCCCAAGAATCCTCCCCCATCTCCCATGTTGCCAGCGAGTCAGGGCTAGCTGCTCCCTGCTGGGGCTAGCACCGGAGAGCACAGGCCTCTGGGTCAGCTCGCCCAGGAATCCCCAGTGGGAACTAGGTGAAGGCCTGGCCGGGCAGCATGCCAGGCGCCACCAGCTGGCCGCCACGTGACCCCGGCCTCTCGGGCCGCGAGTGGGGTCGCCAGGTAATACACGCAGGGCGCTTCGTTACGCGGCATCTCAGGCGAGTCGCCCTTCTCGGGTGCGTGTCTGCCAGCACTGGGTGGACACTACCGGCGCGTCCATGCCTCTCTGGCATTCAGCTCTGACTGGGCGCTCTGCATCGTATACCTGCGGAGGCCCCGGCCCTCCATCCACACCCGCGTGAGCCCACCCCAAGCTCTGCCCACCTCGGTCCCCAATGATGACAGTGGCCGAGGAGGGGTGGCCCAGGCGGGCCCCAAACTTGGGGTTGAGGAGCTGGACATAGAAGCGGCGATTCTGGCGGCCCTTGAGGAGGGAGTCCACCTCCTGCATCTCCAGCAGCTTCACCTGCAGCTCCTTCCAGGTCTCGCCAGGTTGGAACACCAGGTCGCCCTCCACGGGGACATAGTCCTGGAGTGGAGGGGTCAGGGTCAGCCCGGGGAGGGAGGTCACGGCCGCTGCTCGCCCCGCCCCTCAGGTGCCGCAGGGCCTATCCCACCAGGCCGCCCACGGGTGGTGGCTCACGTATGCAGAGCGCGTCCTGCGTGCCTTCCTTCCCAACTCCTTAAAACCAGGTACTAGTGCAAGGGGCAGTGGACACACTGCCCTCATTACAGAAGAGGCACACAGAGGTGAAGAGGCACGCCGGGCTCACACAGGTCTGGCGCTGAGCTGAGCTGTGAGCCCAGGCGCAGAGAGGCGCCGATGCCAGGGCCCGCAGAGCTGAGCCCTCAGCCTGGGGCCGCTGGGATTTTCATGACACTCGAGCCTGGCATCCTCCAGGCCCTGCCTCCAAGGCGGGGTGCTCCCATCAGCCCTGGCTGTCGTCTCCCACTGCACAGAGTGTCCAGAGCACCCAGGATGTGGGTGCACCTGCACCCGGCTGGGGCCTTCTCACGCGTGACCACTAGGTGGCGCCCGAAACCAGCACTTCTGCTCCCAGCCGGCGCCTGCTGCCAAAGCTTAAAAAGCAGAATCCTCTGGACTGGCCGGGGTGCACTGACCTGGGCGCACTGACCTGGGCGCACTGACCTGGGCGCACTGACCTGGGCACACCTCAGAGCTGTCAGAGTGACAAAGACAAAGCTTGGGGGTGACTCTGTATTAGGGAGACTAAAGATACGGGGCAGGAAGAAGCAACGCTCCATCCCTGACTGGGTACTAGACCAGGAAAAGGCCGCGCACATCTGAGCGGGGGCCAGGGGTGCTCCCTCCTCTGGGAGAGACGTGTCGGGAGAAAATAAAAATGAAAACTCTTTAGAAGCAGCCAGAGGTCCGGAGCCCGTCGGCACGTCTGCGCATGTGTGTCCAGGCCACACCCGGGCCCCTGGGCGAGGCCAGGCGAAGACTAGCAGTTCCTAGTCTATTTTTCTTGTAGGTCTGGCGTTTTCCAAAATGAAAAGTTGGGGAATGAAAAAATTGTCTCCGAAAATGGCGAAGGCCCAGAGAACCTTTGTAGAAGCACAGCTGAGGCCCACATCTTGCAGGGCCTCGCACACCCAACGGGCTTCTGGACAGCTGCCTCCTGGGGGCCGGAGGCTGGCCAGGCAGGCAGGGGCCGGTCCCCCCAGTACATGATGGGGCGAAGGCAGGGTGAGGCGGGCCAGGCCCCTCTGGGCACGCGCCCCCCGCCTCTGCCAGATGGGCCCGAGGCCTCAGGGACTCGACCCTGGTGACTTTTTGAGTGATTTTTTGAAATGAAAAATTTCAGTTTTAAAGTCTGACGACAAACTAACCTGAGAGCCAAAACACCCGTCCACCCTGGCCCTGGGGCGCCCGACGACGGCCCGGAAGAAGGGGGTGCAGGCACACGGCACACGCACATACTGACGAGGTCCTCCCGGCTGAGGGGCTGGCCTGGCCCCGGGAGGGTCAGCTGGGCAGTGACTGCCCTTGGGAGTGTGGCCTGGGGCACCGGGCCGTGACCCCACCTCAAGAAGCCCAAAGCCCCCCAACCTGAGCAGATGGGCCCGTTTGTCAGCAGGGGGTCGGCCACTCTGGTGGTGCCAGGGTTGGTGCAAGAGGACATTAGTGGGGTCTCACCGGTGTCCCTGACTCTTGGGGTGAGCGGGGCGCCCCTGCTGCAGGGAGGCCGGCCGCACCCCCGCAGCAGCGCCCCTTACCCGCCGGGCCTGCGCCGTGTTGTCCTGCGTGCGGTAGGAGACCTGGGACTTGCCGCTGTCCAGGATGCGCCGGGTGACCGGGATGCGGGCCACCTGCTCGCCTCTGCTCACCAGGAACTCAGGCTGCTCGAAGGACACGACCCCGCTGGCTGCACGGAGCCGGGCCGGTCAGGGTCCTGGCCTGGGCCTCGCCACCGCCCTCGCGCCCGCCCTGTCGTGCCCCCCACCCCGCCACCCTCTGGGGAGGGCAGAGGAAGGGGCGCAGAACTGTTCCAGAAAGCACATGGAGGGGCGGTGCCAGTGTCCAGTGCACTCCCTGAGCCTCTGGGCTTGCCAGGAGGGAGGGCAGAGGAAGGGGCGCAGAACTGTTCCAGAAAGCACATGGAGGGGCGGTGCCAGTGTCCAGTGCACTCCCGGAGGGCCAGGGCAGGGCAGGGCAGGGAGGGGCAGGGCCAGAGACGGCCCCAGGCCGGGGGCGGGGAGCATCACAAAGCGGGTGTCCCGGGGCGGGACGGGGCCAGGCCCTGGCCAGGCCCCTGGTGCAAGGCTGAGAAGCCAGGCCTGCCCACGCTCCTCTAGCCAACCTGTCCGGTGACCGGCCCCGTCGACCCCCAGGCTCAACGGCCACAGGGGAGAGAAGAGCCAGGGGAAGGGTGGGGGGCTCCCGGGGACCCCGCGGCCACCACTCCCACCCTGAGAGGTGACTCGGGAGAGGGCCCCGAGAGGGCAGGGGTCATGGCAAGGCAAGGCCAGGAGGGGTCCGCCACCCCACCCTCGCCAACCTTGCTCCTTGATGATGGTGATGTTCACCAGGCGGCGCCCGAGGGTGGCAGTGCCCACCGGCACGTCGATGGCCTCCACCAGCAGCTGCTTCTCGTCGTCGTCCTCGGGCCGGATGAAGAGAGGCACCCGCACGTCCACCAGCTCCACGCCCTCCTGGAACTCCACCATGCCGCGGGCCTCTGCGGGCAGGGCCGGTCAGACCAGGCTGGGGCCCGGCCAGCGGGGGCACTTGGTGGGGGCGGCCACCTACCCTGGTCGGCAGTGAGTGTGTAGTAGCCGGGGGCCACCTTGAGCTCGTGGAAGGACCTCTGGTCCACGTGCTTCTCCGTCAGCTTCAGCAGCGACTGCTTGGCCGAGCGGGGCGCCATCAGCACGGTGTCCACTATGGTGTGGTCCTGCCTGGGGGCCGGTGGGAGGCGGCAGGCCAGTCAGGAGCTGGTCCGGCCCCTGCCGGCTCCCTGCCTGTCCTCCCCCCATCAGGGAACAAGTGCAGGGAATTCAGCACCTGCAGTCCGGGGGACCCAGGCTGGCCCACCGCCTCCCCAAGCCTCGGCGCCCAGCACAGCCTCAGCCAGGCCTGCACCTCTGGGCCCTCAGTGTCCTCGGTGTGAAATGGGGGGAGGGGCCCTCCCTGGTGGCGCAGCGGTGGAGCGCAGCACCGTGAAGCTGTCTGCAGCCACGGCAGCCTGAGTGTGACCCCCGGCCAGGGAGGGACCCCAGGGCGCAGCAGCCCCCGCCTGTCTCCCCGCTGCCCCTGCAGCAGTGGATTCAGTTGATCCGCCTGCTCTGCTCCCCACTCTGTCTCTGGGGAGTCCTCTCACTCCCCACCTCTGGCCTGTACCCCAGCTCCTGTGTGCATGAATAAATCTTTAAAAGCAAAGAAATGGGGTGAGGGCAGCGGGGTGCAGAGAGCAGTGAGCTGGGCCTGCGGACAGCAGGTGCATCTGTGTCTTCAACTCACTTCTTGCCTGCGTTGGGCTGCTGCCTGTGGGCAGAGAGGGGAGCGTGAGGCCAGGGGCCGAGGCCGAAGGACAGACCGCCCAGACTGCCCCGGGGAGACCCACCGGGGCGGGCTAGAGGCGGCCCCTCCCAGCCCAGGAGCGGGGGCTCAGGCTGGCACTGGCAGCACAGCCAGGCCCCCCGCCCCCACCCCCCCGCCCCCACCCCAGCACCCACCGGAACTTGGTCTGCTGGAGCTTGTGCGCGCCCGAGATCTGCCTGTACACCTCATTCAGCTGCCAGACAAGGGGGGGCCGTGAGGCTGGGCGCCGGGGGAGCTCCACCAGGCCACGCAGGCCAGGGCCACGCAGGTGGCATGCCGTGGCCTCGTCCCCTTCCAGAAGCAGTTATGGGACAGACCCCAGGATGACCCCCAAGGGAGCCCTCCTCCCGAGGGAGACCCCAGCTCCAGCGCTCCCCTTGGCCCCCCCTGGCTCCCCCCACGCCCGGCCCGTACATTTTCCTCCACCTCCCGGCGCAGCTGCTCGCACTCCCGGGTGTCCGGCTTCAGCAGGTTTTCCGTGCAGAGGCGGGCGAGGCGCAGGGACAGCCCGTAGGGCACTGCGGGAGGCGGGGTCCTCAGCCCTCGGCACAGGGGCACCCCAGAAGCCCCCTCGGGGAGCCACGCCACAGGGGGGCCCCCTACTGCTCAGGGGACACTGTCTCAAGGCACATGGGAGGGGCGGGGGCGGCCGGCGGGCGTGAGCGAGGCCCCAGGCCAGCGCGGGCCCAGCCCCTCACCCAGCTCGGCGGGGTTGCTGCTGGCCGCGTGGCTGGCGAAGCCCGGCCTCTGCACGTTGTTGGTGATCTTCCAGCGCACCGTGTCGCGCCCCTTGAGGGTCCCGCTGCGCAGCAGGGGCGTGTCCAGGTGGTCCGACGCCATCAGGCCCTCCCGCAGCATGTAGTGGTCCTCCTTGAAGCCCACTATGTGGCCTGCGGGACAGGGGCCCGGCCGGGCTCCCTCAGCCCGCAGCCACGGCTCCGCGGGGGGCCTGACCCCGCGGGGCCCCATCCGCACCCATCCGCCCGCCCCGCCCCGCCGCGGAGGCTCCGCCTACCTTGGTTGCAGCAAGGGAGACAGGCCAGGCAGGTCTAGGAGACAAGCGGGCGGGGACGAGGCTCGGACAGCTGCCCCAGGCTGGCCGGGTGAGCGCCCCCAGCCCAGCCCTGCCCAGCCCTGCCCGCGTGGTCTGGAGGGCACTGGTGCCTTCCCCGGAGGCACGGGCGGTCACGCAGGGCGGAGTTAGGCTGGGCACAGAGGGGCAGTGTGGCAGGTTCCCCGGGTGTGTGCCAAGGGCCCCTATCCCGCCAGTCTGCAGAGGTCCTGCTCCATCTATGGCGCCCTGAATTCATTCCCGGGGACCCTAGAGGTTCCCTCTGCAAACTGCCGGGACAAAGGCTCGGATAAGTCCTGCACAGAACAAACCTCAAATGTATTTGCTCACGGAATTCGTTCCCTCTGTAACGCACACAAATACCCCACAGCACTGGGGTCACCGCGGAGCCCCTGTTCCTGCATCCCCCATGCACGCCTGCCTCCTGTCTCTTCTCCCGGGAGGCGGCCAGCTCCTGCTAGGCAGGGCCCTTCCTTCCCTGATGGCGCCACGGCTGAGCCAGCACAGGGGCTCCCCAGATCGGCCTTTGAGAGATGGAGGGGCTTGGGCTGGAGAGGCCACTGAGCTGGAGTTGCACGGCGCCTGCAGCCCCGGGGGGGCGGGGGCCCCGCTGAGGATCCGGGGGTGCTGAGGACCCTGTTGGGGTCTCTGGGGAGGTGGGGACCTTGGAAGCTCCCCTGAGACCTCACCTTGCAGCATGCACAGAATTTCCAGCAGAGCAGCAGGAGCAGCGCCAGGAGCAGCAGGAGGAAGATGAGCAGAGGGATGAGCCACCAGAAGGAGCCGGGAGGACAGTCTGGAGGAGGACGGGAGAGGAGGGTGAGGCCGGGGGCGGGGCAGG